CCCAGTGCCCCAGCCAGCCGCCCCTCTGCAAAGGTACCGTTCCCTGCTCTGCCCAGCTCGGTGCCCCTCACGTCCGCCTGCAGCCCCTGCCGGCCCAGCCCCTCCGGGGTCTCTTCTGAGGCTTTCTCTCTGCTCTGTTCTCAGTGGCATACGAGGAGTTACTGGACGACCGGAAACTGGAAGGTCGGGGTTGTTTACATTACATGCACAAAGGGCTCAGTAGGTGGTGCTGTGGGGCAGAGTGGTCAGTGGGGATGCAATGGGGTGGGGAGCGCCATAGGGCAGGGGACTCAGTAGGGGGTATCATGTGGTGAGGAGCTCAGTAGGAAGGAGATGCAGGGGGTGCTATGAGGCGGAGGGCACAGTGGGGGCACTGTAGGGTTAGTAGGGGGTGCCCTGGGGTGGAGGGTGCAGTAGGAGTGTCGTGGCAGAGTGCACTGTAGGGTCAGTAGGGGGCACCCTAGTGCAGAGGGCACTCTAGGGGTCACCATGGGGCGGAGGGGTCAGTAGGGGGTGCCGTGGGGCAGAGGAGTCAGTAAGGGGCGCCGTGGGGCAGAGGGGTCAGTAGGGACACTGTAAGGTTAATTGGGGATGCCGTGGGGCGGAGGGGTCAGGAGGGGCACTGTAAAGTTAATAGGGGGCGCCGTGGGGTGGAGGAGTCAGCAGGGGGCGCCGTGAAGGGGTCAGTAAGGGGCACTGTGAGAAGGAGGGATCAGTAGGGGGCGCTGTGGGGCAGAGGGCACTCTAGGGGGCACCATGGGGGGAGGGATCAGTAGGGGGCGCTGTGGGGCAGAGAAAACACTAGGGGCACCGTGGGGCAGAGGGGCGACAGAGAGTCCCCTGGCTCTCAGTGCTACCCTAGTGTGGCACTAGGGGGTGCTGCAGGAAAGGGAGGGGTAAGGATGCTGTGATGTCATAGGTTTTGTCTGTTCTGATTGGCTTCCTGTCTCACAGTCACCCAGACGACAGACCCCTCCCACCAGATGGAGGGGGGTAACATCGCTCTGGCAATCTTCCTGCCAATCATCCTGGTCATTCTCCTGATTGGCGGCATTTACGTCTATTACACCAAGTAAGCCACAGCCAATGAGAGCCTTTGAAAGGGGCAGGTTGGCCAATGGGAGTCAGCCTTTGACAGCTGGGGTGGGGCTTGGGTATGTTAGAGGGGCAGGGTGGCCACTGGGAGGCAGGGCCAAGAGCCACCAGTGGGCATGGTGCTCAGTGGGGGCGGAGCTTAGAGGAGTAAAGGGGAGGGAACTCCAGTGGGCATGGTGCTCAGTGGGGGCGGAGCTTAGAGGAGTAAAGGGGAGGGAACTGGTCACAGGGGGCGGGGCCTTGTGGTGTTCTCACCCCTCCCCCTTCCCGGTGCCAGGTTCCAGGGCAAGTCCCTGTTCGGCTTCTCCTTCTCCAGCGCCCACAGCTACCGGCCCATCACCGTGGAGTCCGACTTCAGCAACCCGCTCTACGAGGCTGGGGT